GGCACGGCACTCTAGCCCGGGCAACACAGTGAGACTCTGTCTCAAAAAAAAAGTTGGTTATTTTGAGTTGTACTGTTATTACAATTAATGAGGTAATATACACATAAGTGTCCCGCATAGTACCTGGCCAGCATAGCTTCTCAGTAAAAGGTAGTTGTTGTTTCTAGGATATTCAAAATAATTTGGAGGAGTAAAGTGTTAGAATACAACAAGTTTCAGAACCAGAACTTATGTCTGGGTCTGCCTAACTTCAAAGATCTTACCACAAGATGGCACTGCCACTACAGTACCCTCCACATGTTACTTAGAAAACTGGGAAGATATGCAGATGTCATCAAGAACAGACTACTGAATTTAACAGAACACTTTTTTAAAATTAACTAATTTGGATTATGATTTGCATATAATTCACTTGTGAGTTCTGACAAATATGTACACTGTCGTAACCACCACATAATCAAGATAAAGAACATTTTCCATACAAAAAGTTAGCTCAGGTCCCTTAGAAACAAAAGCCTGACCCCACTCCAACCATTTACCTTCTTTCTCACCCTAAAGATTAGTTTTCTTTCTTTTGTGTCTGGCTTCTTTTGCTTGGCATAATGTTTTTGAGATCCACCCACATTGTTTCATGTATCAATAGCTGGTTTTCATTGCTAGGTACTATTCCACTTATACAGTGTGGTAGGCAATTTCTGAAATGACTTCCAATGATCCCTGCCTCCTGGTATTAATGCCCTTTGTAATCTCCTCCCTTGAGTATGGGCTGTATCTAGATATTTGCCTCTGAACAATAAAATACAGGCTGGGCATGGTGGCTCACAGGGTGTGAGTGGTAGCTGCTGACGAGGCTGAAGAAGGAGTTGAGCCCAGGAGTTCAACTTTGGAGTAAGCTATGATTGCACCACTGCACTCTGCCTTGGCCACAGAGCAAGACCCTCTCTCTTTGAAAAAAAAAAAAAAGGAAAGAAAGAAAGAATAAAATACAGTTAAAAGTGATGGGATGTCACTTCTGAGTTAGGTTACAGAAGATTGAGACGTCCACCTTGCTTTGAGACTCCCAGTTAACTGCCCTCAGGAAATCAATCCTGCCAGCAACCCACAAGTGATCTTGGAAGTAGATCCTTCCTTAGTTGAGCCTCGAGATGATATATTGATTTCAATTCATAAGATACCATTTATGCTCAGATTCCTGACATATATATATATATATATATATATATACACATACACACACACACATAAGCTGTGAGAAAACAAATTTTTTATAACATTAAATTTTGGGTAAATTATTACACAACAAATAACTAATACATATGAATATATTTGCCAGTTGATTAACATTTGGGGTTCTGTTTTTCCATACTGTAAATAAAGCTGTGATGAACATTATTGTGTGAACCCTTTTGTGAACATATATGTTGATTTCTCCAAGTAAATACCTAAGAATGGAATTGCTAGATTGTAAGTGTGTATTTAACTTTATAAAAACTGCCAAACTATTTTCCAAAGTGATTGTACCATCTTGCGTTCCACCAATGTTCCAGTTGCTCCATGTCACTGACAATTGGAATTTTCAGTCTTTTTAATTTTAGCCATTCCAATGGGTATAAATTCCGATGGATGGTTTCTCATTGTGTTTTCAATTTTAATTCCCTGATGATTAATGATAACTAATGCCACTGAGCATCTTTTCGTGTGCTTATTAGTTATTTGCTTATCTTCTTCTACCAAGTGTTCAATAGTGTTATAAGCAGCGCTAGCCTTGGTTTTGATCTTAGGAAGGAAGTATTTAGTCTTTCATTATAAATTATTACATTAGTTGTAGGTTCTTTAGCAATGTCCTTTATCCACAAAGGACAAAGTTCTATTCTATTCCTATTTGCTGAAAGTTTCATTTTTTTAAAACGTAAAATAGATGTTGAATATTGTCAAATACTTTTTCCTCCATCTATTGAAATGATCAAATGAATTTTCTCATTTATTATAACTAAGATGGTGAATTACAGTGATGGATTAACTAGGCTGTTAAACAAGCCTTGCATTCCTCGGATAAAGCCCACTTGGCCATCACATATAGTATATACATATGTACATAATTTATTATATTTAACTTGACACAATTTGCAAATTT